AATGGACCAGAAACGGATAAAATTGCGCCTGGACGGTCATGCATGAGTGATTTCGAAAATCGAAAAAGTAGGTGACCTTGATGAGATGCTAGAGATGATGCCTACGAAATTTGAAAGGGAAAGGACATGAGGAAAGCACCTAACTAGGAATAACAAGCATCATGTGCAAAACGAATGCGATTTTCTGACGAGGAATATAAGGAGGAAAATATTAATGGGGCAGAATGTGAACGAAAACAAGGCAATGACGAAGGTTCGTCATTGCAATGACGAACCTTCGTCATTGCCTTGTTTTCGTTCACATTCTGCCCCATTAATATTCTCCTTAGTATATTCCTTATCGTCCGGAAATCACATTCGTTTTGCACGTAGTGCTTGTTATTCCCAGTTAGGTGCCTTCATCATATCCATTTCCTTTCAAATTTCGTAGGCATCATCTCTAGCATCTCATCAAGGTCACCTACTTTTTCGATTTTCGAAATCACTCATGCATGACCGTCCAGGCGCCATTTTGTCCGTTTCTGGTCCATTTTAAGGCCTTTATATCTTCCTTCCTATCTCAAATATCCTAGATCCTACAAACTTCTAACAAATTCCTCTAGATAGTCTGAGAGATGTTCTTTCATCTGCGACGCATGACTTGACCTTCAAAATGCCATCTTCATACTCGAAATTCAAATCTAAAACCGACTCCGTCAAAAATCTCTCAAGTTCTTGAAAAATGGACCCCTAAATAATCTAAAACTGCCATAACTTTCTCATATAAATTCCGTTTTGTATTTAAATCTCACAGTATCTTTATCTCATAATTGCACATGGCCATGCCAAATTTCACGCTCCAATGGCTTTGCACAACATAAATAGCGCCCTCTAAAGTTCTGGGAATTGGCTTTCTGTCTGTGGCCGTATCTCCATAATGGCTTGGCAAACCCGTACCCTTTTTTGGATTTAGATACTTGAAGATATGCCCTTTCCAGCCATATACAAAATTATATACCCTATCACTGACCAAATTTGAGAAAATTGCCCTCCAAATTCGCCATTTTCAAGAAAATTGAGAAATAACTTCAACTTGCTCTAAAATGGCGATCGTTATACCTACATCAATGAAACTTTGCAGACATATGTATTCATATACGTGACAACTGTTTACCAAGTTTGGTAAAATTCGAATATGTCAGCGCAAAGTTATCGCCAAAAATGATGAATTTACTATGGATTACGTAATAGCGCGTTCAATGCGCGCAATACATTGCGCGCAGTTAACAATAGTGTCAAACTGACCGCAATGAAGTGCCCTTTCGGATGATACCAAGTATTATATATGTTCACACAGAAAATTGTGAGTAAATCGCATTTGAACAAAGATCACTACACGAATTCCGCCGAGTTTCCGCCCGAACCTAACACGTTTCGGCTATGACGTCATTTTTTCAGACTGCTTTTCGCCCCTTAAACGTCCATTTTTTTCCTTGAAAATTTGCAGTGACATGCCGAGTTCCAATACGCAGGGCACCTTTTGGCCGGATTTTTAAAATTGGTCAAGGGGGCCATTTAAGACGCCATTTTGTCCTATACATCTATTTTACATCACGTGTTTCGATAGGATTATCATAGAAAAAAAGAGAGTGGTTTACAATAACAACCATGAAATTTTCTTTCTAATGATACCAAATACGGCCCATAAAGAGACGTAAAGAGAGAGAGAGAAAAAACAATTTAACTCCGGCCATAATACAGATCCTGCACGTTTTCCGCCCATTCATTACACGCATTGTCTATGGGGCATATCGGGTTCACGCTTTTGGCCCCCAGAACGAACTTGATTGCAATGTCAAACATGCACCAAATCCCATTGGTTTGTGCACGCAGTGCTTGCGAGCCCTTTCTAGGTTCTTTCCCCTATCCCAATTTCTTTCAAACTTCGTAGGCATAGTACCATCCCATCAAGGTCACTGTTGATGCCTTTCTTTCGCCCTACCTATCTCCAATATCACAGAAGCTACAGACTTCGTGCAAATTGCTCTGGATAGTCCGAGAGAAGCTCTTTCGTTTGACACGTAGAAACACGGCGTCATTGCACGCACATCGTTGTGACACGATTGCATTTCTAGTTGCAATTAATAACGTGAACGAAAACAAGGCAATGACGAAGGGTCGTCATTGCAATAAGTATATTAATGGGGCAGAATGTGAACGAAAACAAGGCAATGACGAAGGTCGTCATTGCAGCTAGAAATGCAATCGTGTCACAACGATGTGCGTGCAATGACGCCGTGTTTCTACGTGTCGAACGAAAGAGCTTCTCTCGGACTATCCAGAGCAATTTGTACGAAGTCTTTAGCTTCTGTAATATTGGAGACAGGTAGGGCGAAAGAAAGGCCTCAATAGTGACCTTGATGGGATGGTAGTGACTATGCCTACGCTGTTTGAAAGAAATTGGGATAGGGGAAAGAACCTAGAAAGGGCTCGCAAGCACTGCGTGCAAAAACAAATGGGATTAGTTGCATGTTCGTCATTGCAATCAAGATCGTTCTAGGGGTCAAAAGCCGCTGCGTGAACCCGATTTGCCCCATAGACAATGCGTGTAATGCATGGGCGGAAAACGTAGAGGATCTGTATTATGACCGGAGTTAAATTGTTTTTTCTCTCTCTCTTTATGTCTCTTTATGGGCCGTATATTATGGTATCATTGGAAAGAGAATTTCATGGTCGTTAATGTAAACTACTCTTTTTTTTTTCTATGATAATCCTATCGAAACATGTGATGTAAAATAGATTTAAAGGACAAAATGGCGTCTTAAATGGCCCCCTTGACCAATTTCGAAAATCCGGCCACGAGGTGCCCTGCGTATTGCATCTCGGAATGTCATTGCAAATTTTCAAGGAAAAAAAAGGATGTTTAGGGGGCGAAAAGTAGTCTGAAAAAAATGACGTCATGGCCGATAAGTGTTATAATCGGGCGGAATTCGTATAGTGACCCTTGTTCAAATGTGATTTACTCACAATTTTCTGTGTAAACATATACCATACTTGGTATCATTCGAAAGGGCACTTCATTGCGGTCAGTTTGACACCATTGTCATCTGCACGCAATGTACTGCACGCATTAAAGGCGCTATTACGTAATGCATAGCAAATTCATCATTTTTGGCGATAACTTTGCGGTGACGTTATTAAAATTTCCCAAATTTAGCAGAAAGTTGTCACGTATATGGATACATGTGTCTGCCAAGTTTCAACGACGTAGGTATAAAGATCGCCATTTTAGAGCAAGTTGAAGTTATTTCGGAATTTTCTTGAAAATGGCGAATTTGGAGGGCAATTGTCTCAAATTTGGTCAGTGATAGGGTATATAATTTTGTATATGGCTGGAAAGGGCATATCTTCAAGTATCTAAATCCAAAAAAGGGTACGGGTTTGCCAAGCCATTATGGAGATACGGCCACAGAGAGAAAGCCAATTCCCAGAACTTTAGAGGGCGCTATTTATGTTTTGCAAAGCCATTGGAGCGTAAAATGTGGCATGGAAATGTGCAATTATGAAATAAAGATACTGCGAGAAGATGAGACGGAACGGAATTGGTTAAAGAAAGTTATTGCAATTTTTAGATTTGTAGGGGTCCATTTTTCAAGAATTTGAGAGATTGTTGACGGAGTCGGTTTCAGATTTGAATTTTGACTATGAAGATGGCATTTTGAAGGAAAGGTTATACGTCGCAGATTAAAGAACATCTCTTAGACTATCTAGAGAAATGACGGAGTCGGTTTCAGATTTGAATTTTGACTATGAAGATGGCATTTTGAAGGAAGGGTTATACGTCGCAGATTAAAGAACATCTCTTAGACTATCTAGAGAAATTTGTTAGAAGTTTGTAGGATCTAGGATAATGGAGATAGGAAGGAAGATAGAAAGGCCTTAAAATGGACCAGAAACGGACAAAATGGCGCCTGGACGTTTACGCATGAGTGATTTCAGAAAACGAAAAAGTAGGTGACCTAGATTGGATATCAGAGATTACGCCTACGAAGTTTGAAAGGAATCGAGCAAGAGGAAAGGACCTGGATAGGAATAACAAGCACTACGTGCAAAGCGAATGTGATTCCGGACGACAAGAAGAAGAAGTAAGCATATTAATAATGTGAACGAAAACAAGGCAATGACGAAGGTCGTCATTGCAATAAGCCTATTGACAGAGTAACCTCACGGGCATAGTAGAATTACATCTTGCTTCTGGTATCCTAGCCTTTTGACAAGGCCTCGTGACTCTGGCTATTTTCCACCCAAATCAGCGGCTGAGATGAATCTAGAGACCAGTGGTGAACGCGCGATCGAGTGGCGGTAGCTGCGCTACTCGCTCTTGCGTTCACTCGGGTTTTCGCGATTAGTCTCTTTTTAGTCGTTCGGCGTCTTTAAGACATGTGACCTTGTTTAAAGGCTACTGGTAACCATGCTAATTATCATACAGTTAAAGGGATATTTGATTTCTGTTTTCAGACTGCAAATGCCTTTAAAGTGCATGGTTATTGCTTTTATTCTTATCTATGACATTTCTAGTGCAATTTTAGAACCTAAAATTGCTATGAAGGTAATTTTAGACCCCAAAATGTGTGAAATTTAGCCAATACGATCATACCAATTCAGCTCCACTTTCAAAAAAATACGGTGACCGTTAATTAATTATTTAATTAAAAATAACAATACATGGTCCGGCTGGTTGTGCGTAATATAATCAACACGAAAATGCCAACATCGGCATTGGCTGAAATACGACGTAAAATGCGCTATTTCGTTTTTTCAACGGCTTTTTCAAATTATCTAATATTAGTGGTGGTAGGCCTATACACAAGTATTAGAAATCGTTATATTTATGGATAATTCAGCCTTCTCTGAACCGATTTTGATAAAACGAAGATGATTTTGCATTTAAATTGTATGTTCTTTCAAATTTAACACTCATTTTTTTATTATCTCACAAAAAATTATTTTGTGTAGCGTCCTCTGCAACAGAACTCAACTCTCCCTTTAACGACGAGGACAGAGCAGTAGTCGGCGACGAGGTGAAGGAATTAACACTATGGGATTACCAAGAGGAGGTCCTAACTCCAGCATGGAAGGGACAAAACGCCATGGTGGTCTTGCCAACAGGGACAGGAAAAACAGAAGTCGCCATCGCTCTTATAAATCGTCTGTTCTCGGCCCGCTACCATGTAGGGGCCACTAATCATCGAAGGCAGAAGAGTGTGTTCGTAGTGAACAAGGTTAAATCATTGATTCACATTTCGATCTTGTAACGACCATAGGGCATCATATAAGTATTGGATATTAATCGTAACTTATTTGCGATTGATATCAATCGCAACTATGTACATAAGAGATAGGAGACTGAAAACTTGCGATTGATTGGAGGACTTGCGATTGATTGTGATTGCAACTCTTTATGTGACTGGGTCCAGAACATGGTAAACAGGTACAATGTATAGGTTCCTTTATATTTGTCTCTCAACTCCTCTTTTGTATAATAACCCATTGTAGAGGAAGGAAGGTCCTTTCGAAGTAGTCATATCTTATAATAGTAAGTAATTACCAAGAACGACCCTCTTCATTTTATTTTTTGCAAGGATCTCTAGTCAAACAAGAAATATCCTTCATTATTCTCATATATGAGGATCTCTGTACAATTTTTTAGTAATCATACATAATTACATGTATCTATATAGAAGACAGTGGGTGAATCTTTAAGAGCCCCTGAAAAATGAGGATAAAATATATAATGCAGTGAACAACTTAAAACCTTCATGCCTTCAAGCCGTACGTCGGTCCCCTGGTTGATTACAAATTACGGTCACGTCATGCTTTCATAGCAGTCAGGGAAAAACAAACCATCATCATAACAAGACCCTTCGATCTGCTACAGGTTCCCCTAGTGAAACAACAGAAGGACAGGTGTCTGAAATACTTGAGGGGAAAGTGTGAGGTCGCTGGAACTAGCGGTGAAGAGTTGAACGATGCGTCATTGGACAGCATCATCGATACCAACGACATCACCGTCTTGACGGCCCAAGTGCTCATCAACGCCCTCAAAGATAAGAACACTAAGCTCCAACTCTCTGACATTGCACTCCTTGTCTTAGACGAATGTCACCACTGCCAGGTAATATTATTTACTTGGATGTTACATTTTCTAATTCATTCGAATATTTACCCACTTGTTTCAATTAAATGTATCAGGGTGTTTGCCGGGTGTTTGGGGTCAATAGGAATACGTTCTATGACATATGTAAAATGTGTTTACCTGCATAGTTCGGACGTGTGTGGTTCATGCCTCGCCAGACGATTACGATCGAGTAAGGTATTTAAACAACAGACATCGTTAATGCCACGTGTTAAATACCTTCAATTGTACCCACTTGGCAATTGTGTCTCTTTCATTTTCTTCTATGATGATTAAGTTTTGTCGAATTCTGTTACATCTTGATTGGTTTAATACATAACTATGTCTCATTCGGACTTAAAATGTTATGGATACCTATGAAACTTTTTTAATATTCATGTGTATTTGATTAAACCAGCACTGTTTGTTCAGCACTGTCATACTAATTGTTTATTATAATTACTTTTTGTCATCATAGTTTGGTTGAAGGTCATAAATGATTAGGTAAATCATGAGTTTGGTGTTACGCTCGTTTAATGATTGCCCTATGCCTGCGTCACATACCCAATGGTCTTCGGCCGAATTAGTGGATCGCCAGAAAGTCGCCGAATTGCAAACCCGCCGGACAGTTGAGATTATTTTTCGCTTGAAATCTACCCTGTCACACATTGGACGGGGTTCGGTAGGTGCTCTTTGAACACTAGTGATCAGAAATCGCCCGGCGCCCGTCAGTAAACAAACGGGAGCCGGGCGAAGACCGCTCGACATATATAAAGGCGGGCGCCGTCCGAGTTTCGGTCGATGATCAATAGGGATTTCGGTGCCCGCCCACCGAACAGCCGGGCCACGAGCGAGAGTGCTCCATGTAACGCCCCTGCCTGGCGTCCTCCGACACGTCCGCGCCTCGAATATACAGGACATTCAACAAGTTCGTACAAGACAGCTTCTCCAGCACCGAGGTATATTATTATAAGTATCTCAGAATGCAGAGGATACCCGAGGGGCATAATTCTCAAGTTGACAGGGGGAGCCCGGCCGGGGCCCGCAAAAGCCTTCCGACGGCGGTCCGACACCAGCACGGAGCGCGATCGAAGCACGCCCGACTTTGTACAAGTCGGTCAGGATACAAGAGGGGGTCGTCCGAGTATTGTAGGGAGCCCATGCGGCGGCCGTGCAGCTCTGTTGACCTCCGTACAAATTTAAGGCAAAAAAATAGTCTTAAATCGTCGGATTAATTGCCGCCCGAATATCTGTTTACGTGCTCTGCGACCTCAAAATTCGCCATTGGAATATTGCTGAATTGCGAGCAAATTGTGGTACCCTGCGAACGTCAGCCGACCCTAAAAAACGCGACGGAGCACGCAGTGATCGAGCAGACACCGGCCATATTCCTAGCGAAAATGCCTTTTTGAACTCGCAGAGAAGTCGGGCGGGACTCGTTTTGGATATGTGACGCACAGTGACGGCCCCTTTATAGTAACGGTATTTGTAAAGTTTTCTGTTGTGTACGTGGCCAGGACGATCAATATCTTTTTATATGTCATCACGTTTAGATGTTGATTTTATTGAAGACTGGACGTCACTGGAGAAGATTCATTGTTGTAAATGGTATTAATAAACACTTCTAGTTTTCTTTTGATATAATTAATTCCCAAGTCAGAAGGAGCTTATAATTGTCATGTATTTATCTTTTTATGTCTGTTCAAACAACAGAAATCTGATCCATACAATGTTCTGATGGCGATGTATAGAGACCTAAAGCTAAACTCTCCGAAACTTCCGCGACCACAGGTAATGAATAATTACGATTTTCATTTGGGTTGTTAAATGAATAACCCAATGTACATTACTTCATTTAGTCGTTATAGTATACAATGGAATAGACTACTAACCCTTTCATAATATATACGATTATGTGCATCCATTTCTTATTTTCTATTTTATGTTTTTTAAATCTTTTTTAAAAATGTTATTTTCTTTTCATTGCCAATCTATCTATTTGATTTATAATTATATTATTATTTGCATTTATAGTCATTCTTTTATATGAAGAGAATTTTCTTATATATTATGTATTTGTTTCGTTTAATGTACATAATATATCCTTGCTATTTGAAACATATTTCTTACCTACTTAACATGAATAAGATACTTGGACTGACAGCATCACCTGGTGTTGGGGATTCGAAGAACATCGTGGAGGCTGAACGCTACATCACAAAGCTCTGTGCTAACCTAGATTGTAGAATATCACGACCAAAGATCTATGCTGACCAGCTTAATGCGAGGAGTAACTCACCCCAGGAAAGTAAGTTGATTTTATCATTATTCTTATAGAAATCCTCATCTGTTTCAACGCGTTACCACCTCAGGATTCCAAACCATCCTAGGGATTTGGAAAATCTTGGAAATTACTTAATTTTGTTGAATCAGTGAAAAGTCAAGATATTCGAGAAATATTTATCACTCGAATTAGGTAAAAAGAAGGGAGGGCATATTTTTATGAACTTATAGGGACACTGAACTCTACTTGCCAATGGGTAATCTTCTTTTTGCCCTCAAATATTTAAGTATATATATATATATATATTATATGTGTGTGTGTGTGTTTGTGTATAGATGACTTTTAGGGGATTAATACAATATATTATTGATATATGACGTTTAGGGAGTTATTATGTACAAAGACTTTCCAAGTGAAAATGAAAGTGGTTGAATTATGTAGTTTAATTATGCATATTCTTGTTCTAGATGCTTTAAAAGCGAGTAAATATATTGTAATTTGATGTTTTAAAGGAATCATACTTGTATATACATATATATATATATATGTATAAAATACCTGGTGAAAACGGTTTCTAGGAACTGATAACTTTGTAAAAAACTTTATCAATAATAAATGTATAATGTTTCCATTCATCGTCGACCAATCAGTTGCCACCGCAAAGTTGCTCAAAAATAGAAGTGTTGCAAGGTGACAGTCAACACATTTAATTTCTTTTTCAGAGGAACGTAAAGACTGATACATTGTGTTTCTTCTTATCATACAGTTCTGATAATAATGAAAGGTAGACCTCTTGAAGATCCTTTCTTCCGTGAGATAAATGTCATCATGGAACGCATCGAAGCTAAAATCAAACTCTCGGAAGGTACCCTTTTTCTATCTCACTGACATTGAAACCAAATACCGGTGTTTTGTTTTTTACCCAATCATAATTTACAGAATACTTAACTGAATTTTAGAGATTTACTAAACATATATCTAACAAAATATTTCAAGTGAAGATAAAAATGGTTTTGATTATGTAGTTGAATAATGCATTTTCTTCCTTATAGATGCTTTAAAAATGCGACCATATAAATTGAAGTTTAATGTTTTAAAAGAGAATAAATATAACAAGGGTAATGGTAATATTCTGTTGCGTCGTTACTTAATATAAACACAAACCGCTCAATATATGAAAATAATAATATCAAAAAGTGAAGTAGCGAAATCCCCCAAACGAATAGGGTAATTACAATTGCTAATTGATTACAAGTACAAAAGATGAATTACGAGTGCTTATTATTTTACACAGCCGGAAGAGCGCTGATGAAGGAAAATGACGAATTCACTAAATTGGTATCTCGCCGTGGTACGCAAAGCTATGAACAGGGTGTGCTCAATTTAAAGAAGAAGATTCAACAAAAAATAGAAAATCGAGACAACAGGAGGGAACTAATGACCTGTGTGAACTACCTAAGGGTAAGCTAACGTGAAGATGTTTTTTATCTTCAATTTATTTTTTAGTGATTTATTTTATATGCAAATAGGAGGTGTATTTCAACAATATTGCAATATAAATAGTGATATATACGGAGATTTATGTTAATATAAAGAGAGATAATCATAACATATAAATACATATCACTTTAAAAATTCTAATTAGTATAACAAGTTGATATCGTAGCAGCTTTACAAAAAAAATGGAGACACTATGAGTTTGCTTAACACTCGGTCGTAACATTTACAAGAAGATATTATAATGGAGTCATCGCAATGGTTCTCTGTTTAGGAATACAACAACAGCTTATTCATAAATCGTGATGCACGTACGTCAGATGCCATCTCCTACATGGAGGACTACATCAAAGAAGAAGAGAGGAGCAATCCTTCAGGCTCTGCTGATAAGAGCCTAAAGAAAATGTTCAGAGGTTGGTGATCAATTTACCGATTAGGATTGTTTGTATTTTAGAATTATTTGTTTAGAACAATATCAAGAACTTAAAATACACAGGGGTCAATGCATGCTTATTATTATTTATTTATTATATTTTTTATTTATTGAAACCCAAGGGTGGCTTAGTCAGTATTTTATACATTTTATTCTTTAGGGGCCTGTACATATAAATACATGTACACGAAACATGAATGATTATAAGAATAAAGTTGTATTGTGGATTGCGAGTTTCACCGATACTTAAACAATTCTTACTTCTTACTTACCGAGTTGTGTCTCTCTAACTTTTGACTTGTTGTCAACATTATTGGCTCTATGACCTGCTTGAAAAAGTGTCACCTTTGTTTTGATAGTCAGCATTTGACCCAGGACACTTAGTTTACCTTAAATAGAGGTATATAACACCATCTGTTTTAAAAAAATAGAATATTGCAATGTCCGCCCAGGATAATTAACGATTGGTAGTAGGGTCTGCAAACCCATTACAGGAAGGAAAACATTTTTGCTGTGGCAAGACGCCCCTACTGTCTCAGATTAATTCATATTTTTTCTTAGGAATAGTATTCACGCGCAGAACCCTTTCACTTGTTGGTCAATGAATATTGTTCGTTGTTTAATGTATTCCAAACCGTCTGCATTAAACTGAAATACTGGGTCATCTAGTAGAACTGTTGATTATTTGTTGATTAATAATATCTAGATACATATTTTCTACTCAGATATTAATACTTCATATTCTTGTTAAGTCCGTAATTTGTCCATTTTAGTCAGTACTCTTATCAAGCTTTGTTTAATCTTGAATGTCCAGATAACCTTGAGACTTTAAACCGAATCGCCAATCTGCATGCCATCAATCCCGTCTTGAATGAGCTTGGCAGGCAACTGAAGAAAGCGTATGCACGGAATGAGGAATCCCTTAGCATCATCTTTACAAAGACAAGAGCGTCTGCCAAGGCTCTGGAAAAGTGGATCAATGAAGACCCTGATCTGAATCACATCAATGCTGGCAAATTGACAGGAGGTGGTAATCAAGGTAGAGTTGTGATTCTGTTCATTTTTTATAATTGGACAACGTCTTAAGATTTAATCATTAATCCCAATTTCGTACGAAGCACGAAGTTCATGGCACCGGATAGATATAACATGAAACAAACAAATGAAGAAAAAAAGTCTATTGATGATTTTCACTTCTTTTACATATACATGTATATACAGTGCGTTCCACAAAAAACGAAACCGAGAATTATCGATCAATAACATTTCCATAACATTTCAAGTCCGAATGAGTAATAGTAATGTATTAAACCAATCAAGATGTACCAGAATTCGACAAAACTTAATCATCATAGAAAAAAGACACAATTGCCAATTGGGTACAAATTGAAGGTATTTAACATGTGGCACTAACGATGTCTGTTGATTAAGTACCTCCTCGGTCGTAGTCGTCTGGCGAGGCATGAACCACAGACGTCGGAACTATGCAGGTAAACACATTTTGCATATGTCATAGAACTAATTCCTATTGACCCCAAACACCCTGATACATTTATTTGAAACAAGTGGGTAAATATTCGAAAGAATTAGAAAATGTAACATCCAAGTAGATAATATTACCTGGCAGTGGTGACATTCGTCTAAGACAAATTCAGATACCGTCCGCCAAATTACTTTTGGGTTTCCTCTCTTAAAATTCATTTTAATCACTCATGCGTGAAATATGTATTAAATGAGTTGCATCAAATGCAAGAGGAGGATCTAAGTTTTCCAAATATGTGTCATTTATCAATTATAAATGTGATTAAGTTATGATAAAACATCGATAATTCTCGGTTTCGTTTTTTCTAGGACGCACTGTATAGAGACAAGCAACATAATCAGTAACTTAATCAATTCCATATAATCACGGACAATAAAGCTATGATGAATGATATATAATGTATAAGTCGCTTCAATACATTGACGCACAGCATATCATCATCGTGGTAGCTTGTAGTGACTGCGGAAAGGGATGACAATTTCTAGGTTTCAAGGTTTCAAAGTTTTAACTTTTTCCAGTTAAGGTCAGTTCATTTATTTAACACATTCATAAAAAGCATAGCCGTCAAAATACACAAAAACATATCCACATTATAATAGCAAATAGGAAATAAACATAAACAGCAGCAACTTCGTATGAACTCTTTGGTATATGCGAGAAGACAGAAGTCTTATTGAAAGCTAAGACTTGTCTTCTTTGAGGTCCACTAACCAACTGGATTATTCAGATTGTACCCATCTTTATCTTACACATCCTAGGTATGACGTCAACAGAACAGAATAGGAACCTGCAGTTGTTCAAGGATAAGAAGTACAGGATCTTAGTTGCCACATCGGTCGCAGAAGAAGGTCTGGACATTACGGAATGCAACATGGTCTTCAGATACAACTACGTGACCAGCGATATTGGTTATGTCCAAACTAAAGGTATAGGCCTCACTTTTCAAGTTCGCTACAGCTGTTACATATAGTGTCCATATACACGCACGACGAATATTTGATTCCATAATAAAATAACAAATCCTTTGCAACAAGATAATGAAAAACCTTTCTCAAAACGACTATAAACCTACTGTTTAATATTTAATTCCTTTGACTCAAGATGATATGTTGGTAAAAAGGGGTATGAAGCAGTGATTACGGCATGAATGACATTGACAGTCGCAACTCTTAGATTTTGATATGAAGGGTGTGTCCGCTAACACTTAAAGTGCATGCCCTAGGAATCGGCAAAATTTATAAAGATCTCTCATTTGAAATGGAGTAGGCATCTGCAAACCGCTGAAGTACATGCTCTTGGAGATAGCCAAAATAGATTGGGCTGGCACATCACACTACCCCCCCCCCCCCCCACCATACCAAACTCTGGATATGCAATTGGAGTATAGCCAGTCATGCTATTTCACATAACTTCATTTTGTTTTGTAGGTCGAAGCCGGTCCAAATTTAGCGGGAAAATCTTCGTCATTGTGAATTCCGACCTCCAGCTTCAGGATCGTGAGCTCAAGAACATCATACGGGTGAAGATGATGAACGAGGTTGTTCAAAGCATTGCTGATTCCACATTAGACAATCAAAGAGCCTTTGATGATCGGGTGAGACATAATTATAACATTGCAGGATGAATATGAAAAGGATCGTCAGTTTCGTGTATAATCCTATTTCCAAAAATGTTTTCGTTATTGGCCTACAGGAACATTTCCAAACTTATTGCACATAGAAAAAAACCGTACACTGACTTAATAGAGTGACTACAGTGAATGTAATAATACGAAAAATAACCTCTTTGTAGGATAAATTGAATAACTCTGCAATTCTGTCGAGGACAAGAAACATTAAGAATTTTTGTTTTAATCAGCCAGCAAAAATGCATGTATTAATGCATTAAACCTTTTTCAGACTGCAAACGTTTTATCTGAGTGTTGCTTTTTATTGTTTTGGGGTCGATGTATGAGAATAAACTAAACATTAACAATATTGCAATTATTCGTTTTTTAAAGAAAGTACACGTGTGATTTGATATTTCTCTTTCATACATTTTTATTCCCTTTCTTTAGATTCTGAGGGAACAGAAGAATGATCAGAAAGAGCGACAGCGGGAGGAAGCTCTTGCGCGAATCACCAAAGTAATCAAAGTAGAGAAATCGGGCATAGTCCTCTATTGCATCAAGTGCCTCAAAGAGGCCTGCAGTCTAGATGATATCAGGTGCATCAAAAACATGCACCACGTCGTCATCGACGACCTCTTCCTGGACAAGACGAGGCTCGTTGATCTCAAGAAGCAGCCAGTCGTCGACGACTTCAAGTTCATGCAGAAGATCCACTGTGGCTATTGCCAGAGTAAATGGGGCAAATTGATGGTGTATCAGCAGCAAAAGTATCCGTTGATTGATATCAAGAACTTTACGCTCATGGATGACAAGCGTAAGAAGTGGTCTCCCAGTGCCTGGAAGGAAGTCCCTTTCGTGATCCGTTCGATTGATCCGGATGATCTTGGAAATCAGAACAATTTCTCTACAGCTGAGAATCCAGAAGGGGGTCAGGAGAAGGGAGAAATCGAGGAAGACGACGACCTCATCGAGTATTCAAACATGATGCAGATTGACTAATAGATGCCGTGAAGAGTGACTCAAAAAGGGGCCACAATATGAAGTTTGCAGAATAGACAATTATATATATATGATTTTTATGACATTGCAAATCAAGAACTATTTTACCTAGAGACTGAACTTGTAGGTGTCCAAAATATCTCATTCGTGACTGATAATCATGCTACACACAATGCAATAATGTCAAAGATATACGTGTAGGGAAGTCGTTGTGATTTGAATGAAACTATTTAATTGTAAATCTATAGTATACCAGTTTCAATCCACAATACCTGATATCATGTATAATGTGTTTTTTATATATCCGTCATACACCATTATAATAGATGGATGTATTGAAGTATTTTTTAATAATATTTTAAAGGATGCATCGAAGTTAGTAATATAGTAATAATGACTGCTTTAGGAGACATAGCTGTTTTTATACGCTCAAGGGGAGGTTACAATCGTGCTATTTGTATGGAGAATTTCACGTACCCAATTCGCACACACACAGTGTATGGTATCCGCGCTCGCTCAAACCAGATTATAGCACGTGAACCAATGGGTATTTCAGCAAGATTGAACTATTTTCCCGGTAACTGGAATTTTGCCGGGATTTTACTGATTTACTCTACAACTATTACATAATTTTGGCATTTTTCGTTTATTTACGGGAATGGCTAAAATCATGACTGCAATTTCGACCAATCAGATGGCTGGATTTCTTAAGTGAGGTATATAACTAGTAATATCATACAGATCTTCTCTGATACCTTATAATCTAAAAGCTAGGAACCTTTTAATACATTATGTATATAGTAAAGCAAATAATTCAATTCGGATAATCCACCGTTACGGCAATACACAATTGATAGTTAAACAGTTGAAATAAAAATCCCTGAAATCACTTCTTCACTATGATAAGTTTCACTTCTTTTTATCGGAAGAAATACAATTGAAATCGGTCATAGTGATGAAGTGAAATCTCAATGATCTTTATTCAATTGTTTCAATTGTTTAATATCTTAATTGTGTAGTATCTAAAACTTATTTCTGTAAAGAGTCTCATCTCCAGACCAAATTTAACCTGATTCCAAGAAATGCCTGACCAACCGCTTTTTATCAATTAAATATTTTTGTTTAGGAACTTGTCGGTATGGTGTTGGGCTGTTATTCGTCGGGTGTCTGTCTTATTTATGTGACCGACGTAAAATTCCCGAAATATTATTATCATTATTATTAACTTTTTATCCATAACACCTACGACAAATATCAATGTTTCGTCTGCTCATTGAAGAGCCCTGATCAGATATGTCTAGAATTGAAACAAAATTGATTGTGTTTCGTCCTCAATTTGGTAGTTTTGGGACTATACATAGCCATTAAATCCATGAGTTCAGTATATATTAGTTCATTTTTTAAGATATATTGATCATGCACGATAAATTAAATACATAAGTCGGCATCAAGATTATTCTCTCGATATTACCTTAAAGTACAGTACGATTTACATGCAACAATGGATCCAACTCAATAAAATCAATATGCTGTCAATCATTTTACAAAAAATGTTGTAGAAACTTGCCTAGCCTTAGGCATTTCCAATGTGGCGTAAATACAGAGTAATGTTGTAGTTTGTGTACTAGCACATGTTGCACATTATAATAAGACATTGCATGCATCTCTTGATATATTAATATGCGATTTTCATGTCTGTCACTACTTTTCGCTATCGCAGTTCCACTCAAAGCTTACCAGTTTTGAAAGAAATAATGATATAATTGTTGCTACACCTTTTCGGAATCCATTCATTGCCAATACTTATGTTACCTTAATCAAGGGTTGTCTTCTCGACAAATCCTCATGGTTTTTTTATGGCCACCCAATTCCAATAATGCTCTATTTTATGTTGTTATCTGATGTATCGCTTTATTGTTTTATAATTTTACCTTATTTTGTATTCTTGATTGATTTATACTCTGATTATGTCATGATTGTATTCTGTTTTGTATATTTTATTGGAATTGAACAAACTGAACTGAACTGAATTGAATACAGAAGTTATGTCTAAGACGTGTTATTGTTAATCTCATGCCACGTGTCTTTGCCGACACTGAAAGCAAAATATGTTACTAACAACGGGCTATAAATCTTATAGACAGATGAATTTGTAGCTATGTTTTTATTACTAATGCTATTATTTGTTGGCCTATCTATCACGGCTAAATCAAACAATTAAAAAAACTCATTGTATATAACGAAGAATGAAGATTAGTAAACTTTGACATATTCTAGTCTTTGTGTAAATATAATAGTGATAATGCATTGCACGTGAAGTTCGAGATTATAGAAGCGTGTAAATACTCATGTGTCAACATTTTAAAGAAAAACAGTGGTAACATTTGTGTGTGTTTTTTTTTCAAACATATTTTACATCCATTAAAATTATTGTTTGGATAGCTTGATACATAATAACCAGCTATCGGCTGGTTCGAAAACAACTATCGCAAACATTGTAATCATAACATGCAATGTATGCATATCATTGTTTTTTTTTTTTTCATCGGTCGTGGTTCTAAAGAACTCTGTTGTTTCTATACAATGTTCTTGTACTCATTGGCTACTCGACACGTACCAAACGCGCTGTTCCAAGCTGCTGCCAAACTTGGACGAAGAAAGTTCTTTATGTTAGGCATATTGATGGGCATGATGGGGGTTGCGAAGTCACATAAAATGGAAAGACATAAGGTTGCACACCCGTAAGTGAAAAGAAGATTATACAGGAAAAATCCGCTTATGTATAATATACCCACGGACTACTATTTCCGAGGACCCCCATACTTAACCTTAAACCTGGAGGTGATCAAGAGGTTCGTAATGTTATCATTCTTCTTCTTCTTCTGTTTATCTTCAAAGGTTTATGCAGTCTATTGCGAATTACCAGTTGTGTATACAGGCACTCAAAACACCAGGTATACACCTTACTCTTTGCGAGAAATGTAGCGTGTTACTTCACTTGCACACAACCACATGCACACACTGGCAATTTTCTTCTCTTTGTTCCTTATGTTTTTTTTCCCCACTTTTTATTTAGATACTTTCTGAAGAAAAACATATTGATACGTGACACTCTATTCTCCTACATACTCCTATAACAGCGCCATGTGCCCCCTTACATTATGAAATATTATTTTTATTTGATTTTTTTTTTGTACTTTGATTTTGCAATAACTAAATAAACATCTGCTACATACGGAGCTCCAGTTAGCGTTCTGTCAGAGACACAGAGTGTTTTACCCCTGAACCCGAGCCTGCATCGAGAGCATCTCGGTGACAATCATTTGTTCTGCTCATCAGCACGGGACTCGAAACCAACGAGCAAAACAAAAGTCATGAGAATCAGACGACGATCTGACTGGGCCACAGTGTTTGTCCTAGCATGGTTCTAGGGAATAGCTTCCATCGTTTGTCCAAGAAAGAAACTATGGGCAGTTGTTCGGGGGGGGGGGGGGGGTCATGAAAGCAATAAGCATTGTCCGGCTGGGTGAATGTATTTCTTATATGATACGGTATTTGATTCCGACCATAATGTGCGATTAGGCCGACACAAAGAGCAAGGAAAGTATGTTCAAAGCACATTTTTAATATTGAAAGTCTTTAAAGTGATATTGTGTAAGTGGCCAAAACATTTCGAACAATGTGTGCAGCGCTTTGGAAAGGTACTATGAATATTTTGGATTGGATCTGAAAATATTGACGGATAGAACAAAGTTATCACTCAATTTCATACGATTTTAACTTAAGATCGACACAACTATGTTCTTATGCGATACCTACCATTTTCTCTTAGAAAAAATATTTCAAATGAAAACAATTGCATCTAAATGAAAAAAAATGATTTATTCAATTTGTAGTAATAATGATGTTTATGTATTCTAGTACGAGCCCTGCAGAAGTCAGCTTACCATTAAGTGCATCGAATCCAGGCGC